ATGTTATATACAATATCAAATAAAGAAATGATGCTTACCTATGAGGGGAAACCCAAAAAAAAAAAAAAAAAAAAAAACTTTACTTATATAAAAATTATATATGATATATAAAATAATACAAATAACTTTATATATGAAAGATGCTTAATACTGTATATAGCTTAAATATCAAACATTAATAAAAAATATACATTGTTGCATAATTTGCCTTTTAAAAAAAAAATAAATAAAAATTTAAAAGACTGATTAGATATTTCTAATCAAAAAAGTTATATATTAGAAACTTTTTACTTTTTATAACATGATACTATATAAATTTTTATTATTTATTTAAAAAATCCAAACAAATTTGGTTTAAAAGAATAATATTTAAAATTAAAAATTTTAAAATATATATTAATACACATTATATATTCAAGAAGTTTTTAACTTAATACTTAAATTATAAAATATACTGTATATACAATATATATATTTTTATATAAATACCTATGAAAATGGAAAGTCGTTAACTATGAGATCGGCAAACACTTAAGTCGCGTCTCTGTAAATAACGTATTACGTCATGTTATATTTACGTTCTAAAAAACCATCTCAACCTTTTTTTAAACCAAAACAGTCTCGCAACTCAATGGAAAACCAATCATTCAACAGCGAGGCTTTGACACCTACGATAGAGAGATCAAGGAAACGTCGGCGAAGCAACGAACATTCTGCGAAAGAGGGAGAAAAAGCGATAAACATTCAGGTTGTTGTAAGATGCAGGTAAGAATTTTAACGGAATTTGCTGTTTTTTCTCAATGTGATGGTTCATCTATTAAAATTAAAAAAACATAGGGGGAGGATTGAGCGTGAAATAGCAGCAAATTCTCCAGTTATTGTCAAAACAGGTTCCCGAGAGGTACAAGTTCGAACGAATCCGCAGGACACGCTACCCCATAAAAATTATACATTTGACAAAGTCTTTGGTCCAGAAGCGAATCAAAAGAAATTATTTGATACCGTTGTGGTTCCAATCTTAAATGAAGTCAGAGCGGGATATAATTGCACACTTTTTGCTTACGGGCAAACTTCAACTGGCAAAACATTCACAATGGAGGGAAAGCTTGACACTAATGATGGGACGTTAGGTCCAGATGCTGGTGTTATACCGCGTTCGCTCTATAATATATTTGAAACATTGGAAGAAGAATCAGCAGATTTCTCAGTTAGAGTATCTTATATCGAACTTTACAATGAAGAGTTAAAAGACTTGCTATCTTCAGAAGACGACCCACCAAAATTAAAAATATTGGATGATAATAGTAGAAAAGGTGTACTTTATGGTCACGAAGAGGTACTTATTCAGAATGCAGCACACGGGATTCGTGTATTGAAACAAGGTTCAATCAAGCGTCATATGGCCCAGACTAATTACAACAAGAATTCCAGGTATGAAGTATCGTGTAATTGACGGAGATTTATTTTTTTCCATTACTAATACGCGTGTTTTAAACGTAAAATAGTCGCTCTCATTCTGTATTCTGTATCACAGTTCACATAAAAGAAACGATGCCAGATGGAGAAGATTTGTTAAAGGTTGGTAAATTTAACTTAGTGGATCTAGCCGGTTCCGAAAATATAAGTCGAACGGGAGCCGAAAACATTAGAGCCAAAGAAGCTGGAACTATCAACAAAAGCTTGTTAACTCTCGGGCGATGCATTAATAGCTTAAACGATCACGCCGTTCACATACCCTATAGGTTAGTCGCGATTAACTGTTTTTCCATGTTATTTCATATATTCATATTCATATCACAAATATCAATTGGATAATTGAAGGAGATATTAAATGATATTACAGGGAGAGCAAGTTGACACGACTCTTACAAGATTCATTGGGCGGTCGAACAAAGACTTGCATAGTTGCAACGGTATCTCCGGCAAAGCAAAGTTATGAGGAAACGCTATCGACATTGGATTATGCGCATCGTGCTAAAAACATTTTGAACAAGCCAGTTGCTAATCAGCGTGTCACAAAAAAAGCACTGATAAAAGAGTATATTGGTGAGATTGAACGTCTGAAAGCAGATCTACTGGTATCGTAGAGTATTCTACCTAAGATCAAGGTTATTTGATACCTTTGATTTTAACAAAATCTCAAAAAATTTTATAGGCCGCTCGCGAAAAAAACGGCGTGTACATGGCACAAGAGTCGTATCAAAAACTAATTGACGAAAACCAAAGTCGTAAAGACGAGAACGATGAGTTGAGGAAGGTGAACGAGGATCTCAATGAGAGTGTCCAGAAATTGGAACAAGAAAACATGCAAGTGAACAACAAGCTTGGTAATTGTCTCATATATGTTTCTTCAAGTGATTTCAATTTGAAAGACTTACTGAACTGCGTCGCGTATGTTGTTAGCCCGTTACATCGCCATCGATAATCATAATCGCAAGGCCTTCCAGGAATTTCATGAAACTCTCTTGCGTACGACGTCACAATTTGAATCGAAACTTGGCGAACTAAATTCTGCACACATGGGATTTATGGAGTCAATGGTCGACCAAACAAAGGAATTCATGGAAAATCGAGCAACGGTTATTTTTTTTCCGAATCATTATCGTGTATTCCTATCGCGAATTGAGATATAAGTTAGCAACAACTGATTGCTCGTGTACATATAGGAAATCACGGAAAATCTAAAATATATTGATGACCGACTTGGGCAATTTGATAAGCAAAAGGAAAGTGTAATTCTGTTGCTTAAGAATGAAGAGAAGGTTGCATCAAATTTTTATCAAGAACTTTCTAGATTTCGCGAAGAATCGACTAGGGATTTGATGCAAAAAGAATTAGAAATGCGCGCGAATTCCGCGGCGATGCTGGAAGGTTTAAGGCATCAGCTGTCGAATCAATTTGATAAAGTGAGAATGAATAAACTTTTTGTTCGAATCGGTAGGTGATTGGTTAAACACACATTTGCTAACACTTAAAATTAATATCATTTTAAAGGTCCGACTGTTCCATGACAAAATCGAGGATGATTTATCTCTCTTGGGAAAAACGACACAATCTCATATCGAATCACAGAATCGATTAATTGGAAATTATAGAAACATCACGCAGGATACCACAGAGGCCGAGGTATTTTAAGACATTGTTGACTTCCGGAAAGAATAAATGTTTTCAAAACGCATGCTGATGTTCTTTTCCAAAATTTGATGTTTGTAGAAAAAATTCTTGACGGAACAAGTTCAAGCATTGACAAAGGTTGTGGAAGAGGAACGATCCAAAAGAATGTCTATGCAAGTGGAATTTTTGGCTAACATTGCAGCATACCTCACGAACTTTGAAACATCCCAATCGGCTAAGCTTGAGGCTGTCGTTGGAACAATCCAGAATTCGATTCAAAAAAGCATTGATTATATCCTTTTGAATGAGTTGTAACCTTTTATTGTTCATATTGTCTTGTATTTGCCTCGACCAAAACATACCCATCGGATCATTCAAGGAAAAGAACATAAGCGCCTTTGACGGCATGATTTCATCAAATACCAGCTATCTGGAGAATTATGAAAAACAATACGAATCCACCAAAGAAAACCTCGCCGCTCTTGCAAAGGTAAAAGTTTGCCTCAGGTAAACGCAAATATCGATAATGTCACTAAAAAAATTTTTTTTATTTTCTGTGAATGCAGGAAAGTTTGCCCAGATTCGTCTCCACCGTCTACTCCATCAAGGACAGTGTTTCATCGCAACTGGATGCATATAAAAATAAAATCGATTCAACCATGTTATCACTGGATGCCTTGACAACGACCGGTAAGTTTTTGATTATCGTTTTAAACATCACCGGGTTATCAATTAAAATTAATTAATCTCACATTTTTGACATCGCAGCCAACGAGGAAGCGACGAAACTACACCAGCAACACGATCAATCATTCAAGAACTTTGCGGCTGGAGTTGTTCAAAGTTATTCCGACATCCAGGGTAAAATGGTCAAAGCACAAAACGAATTGAAGTCAGGCGCACAAAATGTTACAGAATTGGTAAAATAATAATAAAATTGGATTATTGCGTTATCTTTTCAGATGTGAAAACAAATATGAATTATTTATTTGCTTTATATTTTTTCTTATCCAGAAACAAAGCAATGAAAATATAACGAACAATTTACACACCGAAGTCGCGAATCGAATCAAGAAATCTCGTGAAGAAATAACTTCCTTCAAACTCTACCGCGAACACGTGTGAAGAATACTTGATGTTAATTTATTAGATGAAGAGATGATGGTTTCAATAAAAAATTTTTTATATCCTTAATAAACTTGTGATTATCATAAATAAACCTTGTAATAAAATTTTTTTAACATTTGCTAAGAAGTATACTTTTACCTATTTTTAGTATATATACAGTATAGTAGAAGATAAAGTGACTGTATACAAGTATTTACTGTAAGTGATTAAATAAGTTTTATATACAGTGTACAGTACAGTACAGTAAGCATAGGGTATTGTATAAATTTTTAGAAAATAGTGTGTGAAAAAATTTTTCTCTAGATACCGTTCTAGAACATTCGCGAGAGAACCAGGATACATGAGATACACTTCATCAACACACAAAGCTAAAATTATTGATTGTTCCGAGATGCTGTTTGATGACCATCGTATCATGACCCTTTTTTTTTTACTCTGACGAAAGAATATCACAAAAAAAAAAAAAGAAAAAAAAAAAAGAGGGGTCTCACATTTATTGGATATGCATAGATGTTCCCATGGGTGAGTGAGTGAGTGGTTGGGAGGGACCTATCAGTGTTTTTATGCAGGGTTTTTTCTCGTGGTCTCGTAGGTTACGATAAAACTGGTACGTATGTCTATGATATCATAGGTACGTAATTACGTAAGATACTTAAACTAGGCCAACCCAAATTTTTATAAGTTATTCAGGCACTAATAGCAAAAAGTATTTTTAAATGTCCGGAAAAGGTATAGGTTGAGCAAACATTTAATATCGTCATAATAATATTTATGGTTAAACGAAAAGTTCTTTGTGCGTGTGTGTACGACAAATAAACACCACACCACCTAGTACGGATTCCTTTTTTCGTGAATTCCTTGCTTTTTAATTTTTGCGTCAACCAAATATTTTGTAAATAGATTATGATTATGAAAACATTTTTGTTAATGTGAGAAAAAAAAAAAAAAAAAAATTAAATCCTCAATGTGACAGAAAGGTGTACCTTAATGTATTAATAATGTATTAATAATGTATTTTTTTTAATTATATTTTTGAAAGCAATGTAATTTTGGTCAGGTAACAACAACGTGGAGAACGATCGATGTTCTGAGCACCCGTATTTTGTATTTTGTGAACGTTTGCACCAATCAATCAAATTGGATGCCATGTTCCAGAAAGTAAAAAAAAAAAAAAAAAAAAAAAAAAAAAAAAAAAGTATTAATGACAAATGTTGAACGACGCGACTCTCAATATTCAAATATTCATTTAATGCACATGTCGCAAAAAACATTCGTTCGTCTTGAAAATTCTTTAAAGAAATATTTAGCGCGAACCCAAAAGTTGTGCGAAATTACAGTACATTTAATTTGACTCACAGTTAGTTATCCATTATTGTTTTTATTAAGTACATGTAATTACTTGTATATGCCGAAATGTTTTTGCATAATAGGAAATGTCATCATTATCAAAAATGCATGTGTGCAAAAAACTTGATGATGTATATGACTTACGAATTAATTGCATTCGGGCTTTTTCGAGTACTTTTTTTAAATGATTCCAAAAAAAACAATAACATAATTTAAAAACAAATAATAACAAATCCTATTCCCTTTTTTCTTTTTTCTTAATATCTAATCAGTTAGTTGAAATTTGTTATTTATTTGTAAACATTCAAACTTTTGTTTTTTCGAACAATACTAGTTGATTTCAATGGTCTTTCTTTCCATTAAAACTTTTCTCTGCGGAATGGAATCCCCCGAGGAAATGATTCTTTCCATACGGGATTGGCAGGATGTCATCCATCTTTATTTTTTTAGATGGCAAAATCTGGTTCACAAGTGTCAAACGTGTGTAATTCATCATGACATTAGCTTTTTGTTCCAACAGGTTTCCCGTGGACACACGAATAATGATGATAAAATCATACTAATAATGATGATGTAAATATTTGATGTAAATAGATAGAAAACCTATTTGTAAAATGGAAAAGAATAAAATAGAGAGATGTATTTCGTCAAGTGAAATCATTTTTCTTCAGGACCGATTCTATCGAGCACCCGTGCGGTGTGTGTATAAGCGTCAATGATGAGAAAAAGAAGGGAAAGAGGATTTTTTCCAAAATCGTGAAAAATTCAGGACGATCTAACCGACATTTGGGAATTTATTGAGTCGACCAAATTTGGTTAATAAAATAAAAAGGTCGGTCAAAATTGTGACCCGTTGGTCCGCAAGTTATTTAATCAGTACGTAATGAATTTTTGATTAACCAAAAAAGATTTTATTGGACGTTCACTTCACTTCTACAAATTAGGAAATCCCAAAGAATATAATGAATTTCAAAATGGAGGGTAATCTAAAAAACATTTTGATATTTTTTTTTCATATCTAAAAAGTTTTTTCGTGATCAAGATATTTCTTATATGATCTCGATCAAAAATCCCATTCGGGTACTATAATAATGGAGGGACAAAGAGTCTGTGTGAGTCGCACGGGAAAATGTAACGACAGATAATACCCAGGAGAGATCTCACGACGTGTCATCACGATACTCCCCATCATCACGCCACCCGAAAAGGCACACCACCCTGGCTAACTCGCTAGCTAGCAAGTTCTATGAAAGTCGCATCGTCCAAACATTTGACATTTTGTGCACACGGGCCATCTCTCAATTTGGACGATTCCTCACAATTATATGACGACCGATAGTGTGACTCGAATTATAAATTTATACACGCACATAGGTACGTAATTGTTTTCGTCCATACATGCGTGCTAATGTTATTCGGGCACACTCTTGCACATCCGTTCACTCGCAATCATCACACCGAAAACCTTCTTGTCATCATTTTGGACAGTAAAAAGGTACCCCATTTTTTCTATTTTGGCACCTCTTGGTGCGCCAAGGAGAAAAAAAAAAAAAAATGAATGAACACACACCCTCGGATAAATTGACATTTTTCATTACAAAGAGAGAAAATAAACATTTCTAGGTTTTGATAATTTTGGTGATGTGTAAACGTCATACAGCTTATTGCCATGAGGTTACGATTATAAACATCGGGAATGACAAACCGGAATTCTTCAAAACCTCAATCCGTTAAACACACAAAGGGGTTGTTGAATGGTCCCCTCATTCATTACGTGTGTGAGTGAGCATCGGGTTAGGATTTCTTTTTTTCTTCTTTATCACGAATAGTTTTCTCCGTAGGGAAATTGCATCCTATACACCGTATGTTGCGCAGAAACAATCCAGACAATGTTGAACCCAGGTTTATTGTTTTTCGTTGTCGTCGCAATTCGAGGAGCGAGTTTTGCAATGTGTCAAACGCCGTAGTAAAATCGTCTGAAAGAGCCATGAAACACGTTCACGTTGTTGTAAAAAGAAAGGCGGTATTGGGAAGTTTTAATTATTTTCATGCATTCTCCTGTTAAACCTGCAAAAATATTGAATTTGACTAACCACAGTTGTCAAGCACATACACGCATTGCATCTGTCATTTACATGTAAATGGTGGCTACACATGACATTATCGATGTAACCGCACAAGTGCGTAACTTGCAAATCAGAATTGGGTTTTAAATGAGACCTTTCAAATGACATTTATTTGTCGGCTGTGAACGAACCACGTCGGTCGTAAACGAATCGATTATCCGAAAACAAGAAAGAGAATACGTAAGACCTCACGTAATCCTCGCACGCAATTTCCTTTTCTTGACACACATCGTGTCAAGCAAACAAAAGTGTTTTATTACATTTAAATAATGTCCTTTCCTTTCCTATCATGCACATCATTAATCATTATACCCCACACTTCAACCTTATTTTCTTGAATTACTCGCACACAATTGAATTTTTTCGGACCATTGTTTAAGAAAAAACAAATTCAAAACTCATTGAATGTCTTTTATGGAAGCATGTTATATTGGCAATAATTGAAACAATGGATGAATGCCACCGTTATTCATATCTTCACAAGGTCGCCGGTAACATTAACGAATACGTTGTTTGCCTGCGACTTCCTTGTTCTTTCCAATCGACATTTATTCATTCATTCATTCATTGCATGAATTCCTTCGATCAACTTGTTGACCATATCTGGCCATGGGATATTAATCGCGTGGGTAAGAACGAGGCGATCATTCATTAAATGATGACAAGTGTACGCACGATACGTGATGGTAATCACAACTCCGTGTAACATTTGCAACGACTTCTCGGTCGCGCAGACAAAGCGAGGGGAAAGAAAAGAACATGCCGAAACTTGGGTTTCGTTGCATGTGACAGGAGTGCGTTTCCACCCTTAATCTTCACTTGATAAAAGAGTTTGTAACGTAACGTACTGTAGTAATTACAGTAAATCTTTGCCAGGTCGGTGGCTTGGACCCTCAAAATCCATCGACGTTACACACTCATGTACTGTAAGCAGCAACCCAATGAGAAACGAGAGGTCACTCTTCCAAATGAGGAAATTTATTACTGGTTAAACAAAGGTTAAGTTGCTCCCAAATTAAATGGGAGATGCACAATTACGTATCGGCATGCTCATCATTAAGGATGCATTTAGACTTTTTTTAATAAGTGGTGCGAGGGAACACGAGGAAAAAATAAAAACAATCGACGAGGGGGAGGGTCACTAATTCGGTACCTCGATCGTCGAACAAGAGACCCTACCCACGATGACCAGAAGAGTTATTCGTTTTCAACCGTCATCATCATCCTTTCGTCGTCCAATGAACGAGTGTGAAGCGGACGGATGAATGAAGAATAAATGAATGAATGAATGGAAACATGCTACAAATAAACAACTAATAAATAAATAACAAATAAATAAATAAATAAATAATTTAATTCATGAAATAAAGTAGATAAACAATAAACTAGGTTTAGGAAGATTTCAAAAGGTACGATGATATCTTTGAGATTTTTGTATGATGCGATGTAACCAGTCGAGATTTCTCATGGTGCGATGATAACATTTTTTGAAGATGCCATCTTCGCTTGTCATCTCGAAGATGTCAACATTTTGAAAAGGCGATGCCGTTTGATCCGACATTTTTTGAACCCTTTTTTTTCATGACACCGATTTTCACGAGTGCCCGCTTTCCTTTATGGGATGCACTATTCATTTCTACTGGATAAATAGACAAACTGGTTAACAACTTGTTAATGAACTTGATGTAGCTTGTTTCCTTGACTTTGTTGAAGCGACGCGCAACATCTCATGGTGATAAACGCTAATCCACAGAGGATACGACGATGAATTAATAATTTTCTCATTCGAAGCAGAGCATTCCGATATTTAGGTTCCTGGTGCGACGAGCATATTTTGGCGGGAGAAAGAATAAGGTTCCATGGGTACAAAATTTAACATTAAAAAAAAAAAAAAAAAAAGCATTACGTCGTCGTATGGCAGGATGATAGGGTGGGACATGCCATATGATGCGCTAAATGTGCAATGGATGTCCCTCATCAAATAATTTCATTCTACCGTATACAAATAAATGACCTCACGATTTTACCCAAATAAATTGGTCGAATGACAAAATAATTTTACCTTTTCAAGAACCAACAATCAAAATCCCCTCCGGCATCCCCTCGAAGGGGAGAACAATATTAATGTGCAAAGCAAGTTATACTCGATGCTCCAGGGGCTGCGGTTCGTGCTCTCGGTGATACATCATTCTAGTATTCTCCTAATATCCTCGGGTCCCTCCCCTCTTATCCTGTGACACACCAAACAAGCGTAATCACTTACCATACACGGCAATAATAACCAGTTGTTGTTACAACCAAAGCAAAAACCCATTGCACTACCTTTTCCCGCCAAAAATTTCAAAATGAAAGACCAATGAGAGTCAGTTCATTCGTAAACAAAATAAAACACCATGAAAACAAAACATAAACCTAAAACCATTTTCTCTGATGATAATCCTGACCACGATATTATCCGTCTCTTCCCTCCAGATGAGAGATGTACGATGAACCCTTCGTACGGTTCACTATGTCTATCAACCCTTAATCGTAATTTATTCCCCTCCGCCTAACCTTATTCACTCCATTGTATCACCCTCGCCCAGCTTTTTTCTTCGCTTATCTTATCATTTCCTCAATATTTCACTCGTTATCTTATCAATAACAACAATAATAATTACGTAATTGGTATTTGGTAATACCACAATAGAAGATTATGGGATGATATTTGAAAAAAAAAATTTTTTTTTCTTTTTCGGAATAAATTTCTTTTACGGGTGGTACCATAAAGGGTAAAAACGACATGACTTCGTGTCGTACCTCTGTTCACAAGGATAGATCATAAACAATGACATCTTTATAGTACAATGTTTAATGACGAAATGAATAAGTGATTATACACTCACCTACTTATTCTCTTGTATATATATGTACATATGTATGTAATTTTTTTTTTTTTTTTTTTTTTTTTTAAGAAAAAAAAAAAAGGATCGACCGGTTGTGTTTGATGCATTCGTGACACATGGGAAGGCATCACAACAATCGGACTGTGTCGCTATCCTTTTGCATAATTATGCGTAATGCCAGCAATCGGTAACCAGTAGTAGCGATGGTAGGGTATAGTCGAACAAGAATGTTATTCACGACGGTGACCATAGTGATCTCGTTAAAGTCATCAGGCGACTTCCCCCCCCGAAATTGCTGCCCTCGTTCACTCATTCATCACCTTTCTCAATCTCATTCAGCACCTCCTAATCCCCTCCCATCGCCGTTCTTTTTTTTTTTTCTTTTCTCGTTTTTTAACCGGCAATCGGTGCAATCGATCGTCTGTTGGAGATGATATGTATCAAGCTGACCTCTTTGGTTTTCGCCATGAAATTCTTCGTTTCCTGCGCGCATTCGTGCTTGAGTGTCCATCTGTGAATTTTTCATTGATGTTCGTCAAACATCACTGTTACCACACGGACCAACCGAGGAGTATTCGTGTGAATATTGTTGTCTGTCTGTCTGTCTGTCTGTCATTCATTCATCCGCTTTACCAATTTCAGAGTTTAATCCACCTTGCTTGCTTGCACACCTAAAACCAGTTTACGATAAAGCTTCTGATCAACGATTGCGTATGTCAATAATAAATTCGGTGATGTATGTGTTCCCGCGTGCCATATTGTTTTCACCGACATCTTTACTCAAGTGATGTTTCATTAAACTTCTTCACGAGTACACCCTCATCCAGAATATTAGGCTGTATATCGTGCACGAATCGTCTGGCACCATCTTATCATTCCCTGAATGCAAATAAATATTGACGTTGACGTTGAAATGTAGGAAAATTTCGTACAATACACCGTATGACACCATCAATGTCTAGGATCACACCGCATCGCATGTGACATAACACGCTATACCTGTCGCGTTTCCATGACCCCTTCACTTTACATCAAATGTTCCCGAACATCGCACGAATCTTTTTGACCATATCGGAATTGCCTCCGTGTGCGCTATTTTCCGTTTTCTCGGAGAAACCAAAAGTCCATCATACCATCGTCGTGGAATCGACCGTTAATTACCATTATCTGGAGACAATCGGAAAGGATGTTATGTGACCTTTTGTTAACGTGGTGTGGATGGGTGTCATGACCGACAGGAGATATCCGAAAATCGAATAAAGAATTTCTGGAAATAAGATAAACACTATATCATAGTTGAATCATCTAAATCTAGTAAGAAATGCTAAGATACTGTACATCTGTTGTGTAGAACAACATACATGCACCCCATATTTTTTTTTTTT